ACCCAGAGTGGCTCTAGGCTGACTGCACGCACTATGCTCTTCCAGGCATCCCGTTCCTCGAAAAGATCCGGGTTCAGAGGGATATTGATTTGAGTGCGATCTGCTTTGATGTTGGCTTTCCATCTCTGGCGTGGTCTCCCAAGTGGCCTTCCCGTCCAGTTTCGTCAGTCTGTCGTCATCTCGTAGTCTATGGACATGCCCATACCATCTTAGGTCTGGGACTTAATTTCTTTGACAATATTCCCGTCGCCATAAAGCTGATTAATCTCGGCGTGGTCCTTCTCGTCATGCGATAATCTTTGATCTGATATGATACTGGTTGCTATAAGGGTCGTGGTGGAGACCAAAGGTTTTTCTTAGGATTTTGATTTCAAAACGCCTCAGTTTTTCTTCATTAGCCTTATTCCTTGTGCCTTACTCTTTTTTTTTGTATTACGTTTTAAAAAACATAAATTCCACCACATCAACGTAGCATGGAAATACGACAATCCAATGAAACATGTGTCAAAAATTACGATAGTTATAGCTACAATAGATTTTTAAAAAATAACACTAACATTAAAATTAGTGATCCTGTATAGGATCTCCATTTAGATCTATACATTTTCTGTAATAAATTTCAATTTTCTCAGAAACGTTAGGAATATACAGAGTGATTTAAAATTGACTTACAAACTTAAAAATGATTTTACAAACTGCTTGTTGGGCATTTCGCCTCAAAAATTTTAGTCTTTAAAAACGACGGAATTTCCTCACGTCTTTTATTACAGATTGATAAATAGTGCTCTTATTTCGCAATAAGAACGATTAATTCAACGAGTAAATTTAATACTAGGACTATCTTCAAAACTGAAAATACAATTAGAAGCAAAATTTCAGTAACAAAACCTAATGACAATGCGAATGCAATAAATTTTATATAGGAGAAACCTCAATACCATCACACAAAAGAATCAAAGAACACCAATCATAGATAAAAACAGAGAATATTATAAGTCACATACTTGTCAACATGCATTTGATAATGGCCACAAAATGCAATGAAAAATTCTACAATTTTAACAAAAAAACCATCGACAAAAAAACGTAAAATTAAAGAAAGCGCACTAATTTTACTAAATCAAAATAATTGTTTTGCTTCATGTTCAGTTAATTTAAGTCATACATGGTAACCTATGCGAAAATTTGAAGTTGACCAGAGAAACATACTCCCAAATTAACTTTACACCAAAATTATTAATTAACATAACCTTTATTAGTTTAAGCAATTAAATTAAGTCGCATAACTGACAATTTGCACAGACGTATTATCAGAGCGAATTTTCATATACTGTATTATCCTACTATTGTTACACAATTTATTAACATACTCTTTTTTAGGTTCATTTAGATTCTTTTAATAACGATAGCAGATAATAGTTATCGAAACGTCAAGGCAATTTTTCAAATTAATTTTTTTACTAATTGGAATTTTCTCTTACAGCTTGAGTCTAAGTGTGTCGCAGGATACCCTCTAGGTAATAGTTCTTCATTACTTTTTGATAAATAATTTGTTCTTATTGCGAAATAAGAGCACTATTTACCAATATGTAATAAAAGACGTGAGAAAATTTTGAATTTTTTAAATACAAAATTTTATGAGGCGAAATACCCAACAAGCAGTTTGTAAAAAAAATTAATTGTTATTAAAAACTGAGAAATTTGACAAAAACTATATTAGAAAAACGACAACAATGATTTTCAAGGTAAGCTGCCTAATTAACATTATGCAAAAACCTGTTGCTACGAAATTATTAAGAATTTCGGTAACCATGGAAAATATAGGAAGTGACAATAAATTAAATAAAGATAAAAAATAAATTCAACAGGATTCCTTAAATGTGAAACGTCCTCTTTCGAAATATCAATGTCAACAAAGAGATATTGTTCTTTAGTGTTATCATAACCTCGAATTGGTGTGTATACAAATAAACATACATTTCTGTCTTTAACTCCAAACAAGTTAGTACATCTGTTATCACATTATTATACACTCTTCTCTAGCAGCTTATCATACGCTTTAACTATTAACTAATTAAACGCTTAATTATTAACTTCCGCTCAATTTGTACCATTGTTCGGTAAACTTCAATGTACCCTTGTGTTGTATGTATCTTGCATACGTGGTAGGAATGTAGCCCTTTATCGGCATTTATTTGGTGTCTAGAAAAATGTCAGTTGTTGTGCAATGCTCTGAGTATCCCTGGAAGGCTCTGGAGCAATTATCTCCGATACCTGTCTGGAACTCGAACATCTATTTCGTCCACCATCTTCCTGGAGCAAATCTTCCAGTGTTTCTAGCCCTTTGTGGGCGTAGTTCTTACAGCTCCAGCTATGTTAATTAATGTGGCATTCACCCATAGTTAATAGCATATCATCATATTCGATATTGGTGTACATTTTGTCAAAGAAGTAAGTCACAGTTTCACAAATGCTTGTGATTATTGACAAAGGCCAGCTACCTGTAACTATTTGTTAATGACAAAAAACATCATTTACCCCTTTAACTTATAATCAAAAAATTGCAGAACTTTTTCAATATCAAAAAATTTCGTGATTTGAAGCCAAGATCGTAACTTTTCTTTTCGAAGGGTTAAATATTCTTATTGGCCACCAACTCTTTCAAAATAGTACTTAATAACAAAGTTGAAATTCGATAATCAACTGTTAATATATTTTTTTATAATATAATTATTTCGGAAAAAACGATTTCAGTATTTTTATCATACTTTCTGAGCCCTATAGCCCCTTAAAAGCAATGGCGCCAATTTTGAATCACCCTGTATAACTATTCTGCAAACATACTCGAATAATTTCATTAATCTAACAGTAGCTGAGAGATTTGAAAAGCCGAAGAGCATGATTTATAGAGAGGTGAGTTAAATTGTCAAATTAAATCAAGTTTGTGACATACATCGTACATATATTTGACGTATTTCACAAAGCCTAATTTATCAAAATTTGGAAAAAATCGCCTTAAGGAGTCGTCTACTTTTATGTGTCGTAACTGTATATTACTCATTTTCCCCAAAAAGGTGGGAGCATTGTGGGTGCATTTGTTTAAGTTTTTTATGGGACCAACATTGGTTCACAGTATATATAAAAGTAGGTACTAGCGAGAGCTACTTTCCCGGCTCAGTATCCAATTTGAAATGTATGAGTAGCATCAACGACAAAATAGGAGGAAAGCAGTAGTTATAAATGTATTTAGTGTCTTACTTATTTATTTTGAAATTTGAAAAAATAATAAAAACAATGCCACTAACATAACAGCGTTAAAGCTTTAAATTTAAAAAATTATAAGAATTTAAGGTGGTAATTAATAATAGTGGTATAATATATTATTATAGTAATTAACGAAAACATAATGAAACATTTATTATAACAACACCGTAATTGAAGGCAATATCTTGTAGTAAATTTATAGTAAGGGAAACTTGACTCGTTGGACTCGTAAATACGGTGAGTCCTCGTGTTTTTGGTGATAACAAGTGATAATCGTGATATTAATAAATTGTTACCTTAAAAAGAAACGTGCAAAGTTGTGCCATTCACAGGAAAAACGGCCTGAATTTTTCTAACCGGTACTATCTTGCACATTTATCAACAGGGACCAGTGGCGTAAGTTATTCTGAAGACACAAGTGAAGAGTGAAATTCGATCCCTATTAAATCTTAGCCAAAAGCTTACAAATTTTGAGTTACTGTTTACCATTTTCAATTTGAAACATATAATGTAGTTACCTATATGATGGTGAACGCATTCGCTGTAAATGCCGTATATCTTGTGGATAGTGGTTCCACAAAAGTATGCGCGAGAGATTGCCTACGCTCTCGGGGACAGCATGGCACAAGAAGAAGAAGAATGTAGATATAGGAGTCAGAACATGAAAGAACCTTTCATGCCTAGAATAAATCGATTAATACAATATATCGATTGGTATCTACTGTTAGTACTTTTATACCTTCCACCTGTTTTTCATTAATAAATCGCCGACCGATAGAATTCATTGTTGCTCCCAAACAAATCGAGGTTTAAGAATGACTTTGGTTTCGGATAATTAGCACATCCCAATGGTCCGTGCAAATTCGTACAAAGGACTTCAGTTCTAGTAGACGAGCTCCAGTAGGTCGTAATTAAATTGGGTCATTTCCTCTTTTTCGCACGATTTTTGAGAAACCCACTTCGAACGAAAACGCATTCAAAGGACGCCCGGTCTTCAGGTTCCAGTTTACTTGACCAAAAGTACCATACATTTTCATTCGTTTGAGTCGAGATTTTAATGTTGATTTTTCTTCTGGGAGAACGCAAAATATAATGTATTTTCTTAAATCAAAGTTACAATTAAAGATTGGCATTTAAATTGCCTACGATAATTGAGAAGTGTTTCTTTTTTCTGTTTTGATTTGCGGAAGTTGCATACTCGTGTAGTTGCTGTATTTCGATTTCTTCAAATCAACTTGTAGACACGTGTCGTTGAACAATTGGAAGGCTGTATCTTTCGGATATACGATGTAGGCCAGTCAGGCTGATGGTAAATTTATTTTAATTTTTTTATCCTTGAATATGATTTTTTTCTGTGAGTAAATGTTCTCTTACGCACACCCAGAGCTGATGATCTGTGCTCTGGGCTGTGTGGAACTCCTCGGCCATCTTAATCCCGGAAACCGCATCCCTGTAGGACTTGTGTGTGGTTCCCTTCTTTACGAAAGTTCCCACATACAGCCGCCCAGATGCTGGTTTGTTGGGTGTGCTGCCATCCGACCGGTGTCGCTTTTGCGTCCCTGTCGTGGCAGCTTTTTTGGGGTGTGCTGGTTCCACTGAGGGGCTACCTAGCACACTTTTGGTAGTTTTTCCGCCTGGCGGTCCCGAGAGTTTTTTTGCGACCCTTCGGTACTTTGCCAGCTGCAGATTCCGACAGTTCTTCTGAGGAAGTCCCGCCGGTATTTTGTGGTGGTATGATGGTGGTGGCGTTTTCTTTTTTATCATTGCCACGAGCAGCTAGGGAGGGGTTAGGTCCACTCACACAGAGCCGCGCATGTGTGGGTAAGGTTGATACAATGACGTGCGTCTGTTGCCTCAAGGTTAGTTGCTTTTGGCTAGATTTACTCCTCGCATTGCATCTCTTGGCTCGTACTATACCGTGAGAATTGGGAAATGTCATAGTGACATAGTCACGCGATCTGGGCAGTAAAATCAAGATCCCCACGCCTCCTAGAGTACCTATACCGAAGCCGTAACCACGAGAGTCGTTGAACTGCAGACGCTTTGCTGTTTGTGCCACGAGCTGGTCCGAGGTGACGGCTTTCGATCCAGATTCTCGGTTTTTATGCCACTACCTTTACGTATCTGCCCGGTCTTTCCCCTATCCGCCACCTGGGAACGCACCCGATGGGTCGCTCAAGCTGCACGGGAAATATCTAATCTAATATCAGAGTATTTTATTGACTAGCATACCTATACCGTCCGTGTTCGTGTCAAGTGCGTGTTCGTATCTTTGTTGTTTAAATATGGGACGTGTCCTCATTTTACGAATACTTGTGTTTAGCTCTGCTCGTCGACGCACACGCCTTAATTCGTCCATTTTACATGCGAGAGTTCTTCCTGTTCATCTATTTGATGAATCGACTTCGTAGTCCTTATGTTAAACGTGGCTGTATGTAACTTACTTGATCTGTGGTTCTGGTTGGAAGGTTGTAACCAATTGTTGCATCCCCTAGAATCCTTGAGATAGCCTTTTTGCAAAAGGTAGGAGTTGTCGCAAGATGATCTACCCATCCGGGTACACTTCTCGTTGTTATAAAATTCTCCATTTGAATGCTTCTGGCATTCCCTTTTATTACTTATATTGAAATCCGTCAAATAAACCTAGAAATTGCATCGGCTATTTAGTCATTTGGATATCCTATAGCGTTTTTAATGGAGCCATTATTTCCAGTAAGTACCATAAATCATTGGTGAGTGTGTGTTATTTTATCGTTGTAGTTACCTCATTACATTTTTTAAGCAAACAAGGCAGGCTGATTGATCTTTAGTTGTTTTATCTTTGAAATTGCTTTATCACTAATATGCAAACTTGAAGTATTTGTACAGTTGCTTATATTAAAGTAATTCGCTCAAACGCGTTTATTATTATTATAGATTTTATTGTCATAATGAAATTCGTTACTTGCTTCATTTTTGTTTCAGTGGCGTTAGGATTTCAAGTAAGTATTTTGAGAAATTTATTGAACATATCTTGCACTTACGAGACACGGTCATTTTGAATTTGCGTTGAATAAACCAATGCTTTCAGATTTCGGCAGCAGTGAAGGTTTCCGTCTATTATGAGACTCTGTGCCCATATAGTATAGCCTTTATTAGCAATCAGCTTCATCCAAACTACAAGATATTTGACAATCTTATTGAACTGGAATTAATTCCCTATGGTCACGCTACAGTAAGATATAAAGTTTACACAAAAAATTGTTTCTCTGTTTATGATTATGAAGCATTTTTTATCTACTTTTCTAAATTGACTTTCGATTTACTTAATGGAATATTTGATTTATAAGGAGGAAATTGTTGATGGTATGAAAACATTTACGTGTCAACATGGAACAGATGAATGCTATGGAAATACAGTTCATGGATGTGTCATCGAATATCAGAACATCTCCACAAGCGAATTATTTGTTTTTTGTGGGCAGAGCTCAAGTAGTCCCGCATCTCTAGAAATATTGGAAAAAGTACGTCAAAATCAGTAATTTTTCTTAGAAAATTTGTTGAAAAGGGTGTGGTTGGTTGTTAATCTTGCAGTGTGCTATGGACAATGAAATCCCATGGTCCGATATCGAAAGTTGTCTATCATCAGGTCAAGGAGAAGATATTCTGGAAAAACATGGCCAGAAAACTGATCTTCTGAATCCTACAGGAATTCCAACAATTGTCTTTAATGATGTGTTTAATGATGATGATTGGAGAGAATCGTTAAACGATTTTAAAGCAGTTTTATGTAAATATTTGGAAAATGAACCGGATAAGTGTAAAAGTTCGCTTTATCATTTTGATGCTGAAATTAAATGAATCCGTTTAGCATTTGACGACGGTAAAACAATTTTTAAGCAGCTCCCCTGTTCTCATTCTTGTCCTTTTACACGGCGGCAAAGGTAACATAATTTTGAAATTAATAAATACTTTGTTATTGAAGTGATTAGTTTTAATATTCTTTAATTATAAGTTGAGTGAAAGCTAAAAAGCCAAAGTTTTTTTTATTACTCCCTTCTATTTACAGTTTAAATAACAAACTATACGTAAATGTCAGGTTAAAATTAAAAGAAAAGTAATGTAGAGAATATTTCAGCGAACATTTCTCTCTTTTAATCAACTAACTTAAATTCAGTTGCTTAAAAAGCTTCAAAGTTCCCAAGCTAAAATGAAACCAAAAAAAATTTTCAATGTAGTTGAAACGGGGAAAGTTCGAACTGATGTTAGTCTTAATTATATCCAGTTAATCAGCCCTGTGCTGTATCATAAATGCTATTTTTAACACACACGTTATGGCAATTTAACAGTTCAGGATAACATTTTCGATAACGCAGCAACACAACCGCGGAGTGCTCTATCTCCGAGTTAACGTGTACGTTTCCGACCCAGTTATCCAACAAACATTAAAAAGAAAAAAATATTGGATGCATAAAGTGAGATGCCTTTATACGAATAGTTTATTAGTTATAGAGAGATTTAACATCAAATCATCGAAGCTTCTAAAACATATGCACCACATGTGCACGTTTTGAACATTTGGCCCACTTACTAACATACTTGTCTTTGTTTATGATTTGCATTCACTTTCAATTTCGTTCGTTATTGTTCCTGACCCATCTTCTCAAACTCTTTCAACGGAGCATGTACAGAAGAGGCAAAAACACAACCCGCAAACAATTTGAAAATTTAGTAGTTTGTGGAGGCAAATTAAGTTTATTTTCAAGAATATTTACTAATTGTTCTAATAAAGCTAACCTTCTAAGACCACCAAAAGACATATTTTTGTTTTAAATTAGAAACAAATTATAGCTAAAACACAAAACTACGCTCCAATTAAACACAATTGTTTTATTTATTCCTTCGAGCTTAACTTCGAGGGACGCACGTTAAGTTCGATAGCGGCATGTGATTTGATGCTGTTTAGGGTTTGTCGGTTTTTAAAAACCGGGTTTTTGGAGAAAATTGTGAAATTCGAAAACCGATTTTTTAGTAGAAAATATCGGTTTTCAATGTATGAATAACACTTAAAAAAGTTAAAAATGACAGTTGTACCAGAGCAAGCGGTTTAGTTCGTGGAATAATATCAGTCCGATATGATTCCAAGAAACTGTGTGTTTTGTCTATTGGATGAATTAATTTATATTTTATATCAGTTTGTCTTCTGGTTTCTTTATGTACAGTTAATAATTTCAGTGTTCAGGGCCATTGATCGATATTTGATATAGAGGATATTATACAAAATGTAAGTAGGTAACATATTTTAATATTATAAACGTATAAATGTTTCTTTATATTTTGTATATCTTTGTAGTCCTAACCAGACGTGTGAAATTATTTCCAAAAAGTAGAAAAACAAAAAGCCCGTTGTATTTATTGCAATAAAATGTTTACTTGCAAAGGATGAAACACACGCAGTCTACATAATCATTCGAAAACAGTGCACGATAAAATAACCGAGAAGAAATTGTTGAAAAAGTTGTAGAACTTCTTAAAGTTTTAGGTCCGATAAAATTTACAGCCGAAGCTTTAGGTAGACAAGATGCAAATTTATTAACAAGTGAAGGTATATTTGAATTTTTCCTGGGTGAAGTACAAAATTTTTAATCCGAAATTCGTTTTTCATCCGAAAATCGATAGACGTCCTCTGTTTTCTGAAATCATATTTTATTAAGCAAAAAAATAAGAAGAATATTTTAATTTGTATTAAAATTGACCGGAATAGAAAATACTCGGTCCTTTACTTAATTGTCTTTAAAACTAAACTTGATTTTAATAATTTTTCTTACTCTTGTATTTCGGCTTTTTTAATAATTTACATTATATAACACACAATTATATATTTTCTAATTGTTTTTAATAAGTATCCATCTGTATCTAATAACATTGTTTTTAAACAAAATAAAATGATTATTATGAAATTATATTGTTTTTATTTATTCGCACCCTTTGCTGAATCACTCGTTTCACTATTATAAAAATATTTACATTCTTATATGTGAAAATTGGGGGGTTATGGGGTTGTGTTGTAGAGGTAGCACCTTTTATCAAGGACGGTCGCGCTCAAAGACATAGTAGGTGAGCGGTCGGCGATAACTAGTCCTCACAAAACACCCAATTCTCACTTATGACTCCACGGGCAACTGCATCGACCTGCAGGCTAAACTAAGTGAGGATAGCCAGATGTGGCGAACACCCCGCAGCGTCTGACCCAGAATGGGCGGCTGCAAACAGCGTCGGTTCTCCAGGTCAGGAGCGGCTGATATCCACATCTTCCAACCCGTCTAGCCAGCGTGGAAGATTATGGCGAAAAAACTTCCCGTAAACCATGTTGGATTTTAAAACAAACGAAATAGTACCCCAGGTGGGTAGATCATCACATGACAAATCCCACACCCGTAACAGGGTCAGCCTCAAAGATTCTGGGGTAGGCAAAAATTAATCCCCTCCAATCTTAATACAGAACAAATTTAAGCTTCACCTTGCCACCTATAATATTCGAACATTGAGATCAACCGAACATCTAGAAGAACTAGATGTGGAACTATCCCGTATCAAATGGAACATCTTGGGCCTATGCGAAACTAGGCTGCCTGACGAAAAATGCACCACACTGAAATCAGGCCACCTTTTGTATCGAAACAAAAGGAAGGAAAATTCATACATTGGCGGAACAGCGATAATGATTCATAAGAGTATAAAGCAGCTCGTTACGAAGATGAAATCCATATCGAGTAGAGTCATTTATATAGTAGTAAAAATATCGTAAAGATATAGTGTCCAAATAATTCAAGTATATTCCCCTACAAGCTCTGCACCCGATGATGAGATAGAGAACTTCTACGATGACATTTCACAGGCGCTGGCAACAGAAACAGCACATTACAAATTCATTATTGGCGATTTCAATGCCAAACTAGGAGTACCAGCTGGAGACCGAAATCAGTATGTGGGTGAATTCGGATTGGGTTCGATCAACGAGCGAGGAGAAAGACTTATCAATTATTTGCAAAAAGAAAGGATGTACTGTATGAACTCCTTCTTCAAAAAATCAGAAAAAAGACGTTGGACATGGAGAAGCCCAAACTCAAATACGAAAAACGAGATCGATTACGTATTGACGAATAAAAAGCTCACTGTAAAGGACGTAGCGGCCCTAAATCGCTTTGATACGGGTAGCGATCATAGGTTGGCAAAAGCTAAAATAGAAATAAACTTGAAACGGGAATGAAATAAGTTAATCAAAATACAACCATTTCCCACACCAGAAACAATTCAGGAAAACCTTCAAAAATTCCAAGCTGAACTCAACAAGAAATTGTCCAATAAAGCACTGAACAGCTTGAATATAGATGACCTAGAAAACAAGATAAGTATTGACATTAGAACGACTACCAAAAAGATATGTACCACTACAAAAAAAAATATTTCAAAAATAAAAAAGGAGAMCAGAGATCTCATTCTCTCTGAATATAAARAAATTAAGAAATCTATAAAAAAGAAAACAAGAGAAGATTTAAGGCAGTGAAACACAAAAGTGATAACAACGACTATCGAAAACAACAAGAACATGAAAATACTTAAAAACACTTAACAATAATGGTCGCCTCCAAATACATCAACTAAAGGACACAGACGGAAACATCAAAGAAGACAGAAAAGATTTAATGGAGATCGTGGAAAATTTCTACAGCACACCATACACAGAAAATAACCCAATGCAAGAAATCGAAGCTGATGAAACGATTCTCAATGTGGGCTCCGAGGACCTGCCCGACATCACCATAAAAGAAGTAGAACTAGCACTGTCTCAAATGAAAAACGGTAAAGCACCGGGGAAAGATGGGATTACGAGTTAAAATCACTTCCTTGGAAAGGGAGTTTTTAAAACAATTTTTATTTCAATTGACATGGATTTCAGCTTCAAGATACAACTGTTCCTTATTACAGGCTTGTGTGAATATATACTGAATGAATGCTGATGAGTTTACATGCTATCTGTGAAACTAAAGAACATTATGTACTTCGTAAGCATAATCAGATATTTCCTTATGCTTAGCTGCGAAATAGAATGTCATGAATTTGTGAAGTTGGCTAAATAGGATATCATAACTCCTTCGGCCTTAGATGAAATTAYATCATCAAAGCRTCATATGTAATTTCATTTGAAAATTGAAGTTTATTTAATTTMAATTTGATTATTTTCCGATTTGTTATTAAGTTTCTTACAAATCAATTCATATAGTAAATAGCAAAGAAATGCAAGTAAAGCGATATATAATAATATAGTCCATATGCTAGTACGGTTAACATATAGGGATGTCTGCATTCCTTGTAGTTAGATTGCTTGGGTTCTCAGCTGGGCTTGGATGTCTTCTGTTGATTTCAGGTTCAGGCTAATCAATTCAAGGGTAGGTGGATTGGATACTGCTTGAAGTGTTCTAGTAGTGGTCCAAGTCAAA